AGTTTGTGGTCTACAATGACCCCCAAATCCTTCTCCATTTCTGACTTCCCCAGCGGCATACCCATAATTGTATAACCCATTTGTTTATTTTTAATTCCAAAGTGCATTACTTTGCATTTATCGACATTAAACCTCATCTGCCACATTAATGCCCACTCCCCTATTTTATCCAGGTCCTCCTGTAATGTTATAGTGTCTAAGTCCGTGTCTATTACCCTCCCTATTTTGGTGTCATCCGCAAACACGGAAATATCGCTGTTAACACCCTCCCCGATGTCATTAATAAATAAGTTGAACAATATGGGACCCAGCACAGAACCCTGAGGCACACCGCTCATTACACTAGCCCAGTCTGAAAAGGTGCCATTTACAGATACCCTCTGGACACGTTCCCGTAGCCAGTTCTCTATCCACGTACACACCACCTCATCTATGCCCATAGCCCTCAGCTTGTGTAGCAAGCGTTTGTGTGGTACCGTATCAAAAGCCTTTGAGAAATCCAGATATACCACATCCACCGGCTTACCTCCGTCCATATCTCTACTTACCCCCTCATAAAAAGTTAGCAAGTTAGTTAGGCAGGAACGGTCTTTCCTGAACCCGTGCTGATTGTCATTAACTATCCCGTTTTCCTGAACAAATTCTACCAGATAATCCTTTATTATGCCCTCTAGCATTTTACAAACTACCGATGTTAGATAAAAAAAGAAACAAACTGATCATTTCATTCTGAGTTAGCATCTGGCCACAATATGGAGTGTTTGTATCAGGATTGATTGTGTCTCAGCATCCAATATTACCTGTCATTGCTTTTCTACAACTTGGTGATTAACTATAAAACTCAAACTGAAGTTAATACCAGGTCAAACGTAATCTCAAGTTGACATAAGCTGATAGTATGAACTGGGCACTGAACAGTCCTGTTTCAGAGTACCCTGTAGGGCTATCCATCTGCCTTCTAAGGCTGAAATCGCCTGTCAGTCCACTGGCAATAATTGAAAATATTCTTCCTGTGTGATAGCATAAAAAATGTATAAAGGCCAGTCAATAATTTGTGGTAGCTAAAAAATAAGCAAAAACACTGGATCAAAGAAAAGACTACAGCCATGTTTAATCTCTTCAAATATCAGCAACTGCTCACAATATGGTTAGATGGGAATACATTATACAGTGGCGGAACTACCAGGGTCACAGAGGTCGCAGCTGCGACCGGGCCCTGGAGTTCCACCACTTGGAGGGGGCCTAGGACAGGAGGAAGGGGCCCCTGGTAACCGCTGATTACCAGATTATTTAATATCCCGGTAACCGCTAATGTCAGTACTTGGACCTCTTCTTCCTGTCCTGGGCCCTATGTGCTTCACTCTGCACCCTTCACCTTGTTCAGGGCGCAGCGTGAAGTATGATCCAGCTGGTGCAGCAGCCAATAAGTGGGAAGCGGGTTATCCCCGCCCCCCTCATCACACAGAACGCTGCTGAATAGAGAGCTGCATCGGTCAGAGAGGCCTGCTGCGAACACAAAGGGGGAGATGTAGGGAGCTGGGATTATGAAGGGGACATGGAAGAGGAGAGTGTGGAGTCCGGGAGCAGAAAGCTGGGGACGTGAAGGGGGAGATGAGGGGAAGCTGGGGACATGGAAGAGGAGAGTGTGGGGTCTGGGAGCGGAAAGCTAGGGACATGAAGGGGGAGATAATGGGGAGCTAGAGACATGGAAGAGGAGAGTGTGTTTTTTTTTGTCTACTGTTTGTTTGTTTTTTAAAATAAATGTATCTAACTTTTTTTGGGGGGGGATGGGGGCCCTTCGTGGATTCTTGCATCGAGGCCCTGAGGTTACTAGTTACACGTCTGATTATAGAAATTATTAAGACACGTACACAAACCCATATGTGTATCCTGCAAGTGAGGTCTGAGCTCTGAACCACAACAATTACGCTTTTTCTCCCAATGACAATGGAAAACAAAAGAGAATTAAGTGAAAATGTTGAACAAGTGTTCATGTTGCAAGGATGCCCTGGACACAAGAACCACCAGGTGACCCCCTGTTTCTATAACCACTGAGAATCTGGGTCAATCAATGGGTCACTGTAATTGCTCATCCCAATGCAGTAGTTTCTCCTCTGAGAAGTGGGTAAGCTGCCATGAAGCTCAGCTGGGTAAGAGATATAAGTGGGAATAAGCCTATGAATGGGGGAATGAGTGAAGGGAGGAGACAGCCCCTGCTTTAGAATCTTGGTAGAAGGATTTTTTTGCTGGGATTACTTGTGATGCTCTGTTCATTATGCACAGGCTAGTTATTGTCACATCTTAATGAAATCACAGAACTCAGATAACTAGCATACTATTCATATATGCTCCTTGACAGAGATGAAAATACCCTTTTGTGACTTTACCCCCAAGCAAATACAGCAAATACCCAACTGTCAGGTCTTTATTGCTGTATATGTACCTATTTCATTTCATTTTATGTCAGGATCGGAAGTAATGGGAGATCTCTCCAACAAGGGTGCAGACAAAAACATATTTTTAGTAAAGATAGCCTTTTTAGTAAAGAAAGCCTCTGCTGTGACCAGCAGAGGCTTTGGTAAAGCTGTATAGCCCTGGGAGGTTTATGTATAAAATCCTGATCTGTTGCAGAGAAATTTTACTCTACAAATTTGTGCAGAAACCAGATTAGTTTTAACAACAGGTTTTTTTTCGAAGCCCGTGGACGTGCATCAAAACAAACTTCCCCCTGTGAACAAAAAAAGTGAACCGTGAAATCACAGCACACAAAAAACGTGCACAAGGGTGCAAGATCCTTCAAAAGAAGGGACCTACTTTCCCGACCCCCCGGGGCGCAAGGCTCCTGACAGGGGTTGAGACTGTCGGACCACCAACCCGAAGGCCGGTGGACCGTTTCCGTCGGGGACCTGCCGAAACAGGTCCCTCACAGTACTAGGCAGGGGGGATCTCCCGAAGAGAAACCCCCCTCCTGGGTGGGAGGAGACAGAGAACCCCGTAGGAGGCACAGAATCTCCTCCCAGCATCAGGAATAGGCCCCGAAGAAACCTGCACCTTCAGCATCTGTGGGTCAAACTATGCTTTTTAAAAAAGCCAATCGTGCATCGTGCATTAAGTGCATAAATAATACTAAAGTGCCAGTGCACCACGCTGACAGGCCTTAGGGGCCGAGTGCAAAAAAATTGCCCCGGACTAGCCATAAGGCCTGTCCAAGAGGCGTTGTGCAGAAATAAGCAATGTGGTGTGTGACCGAGTGATCAGTGAGTCAAAGTGGGGTCCCATACCCAAGTGACTTCCTGAGCACCCCTGGGACGCCACCCCCAGGGGGCACAACACCACGGGCTTCTGCCGCCCCCGAACCCTCTAGCCTTGATCAAGTTTCGGATCCATTCCCATCAGGAGATAGTTCACCTTCAGAGATCCCTCCCCGTGGAGCCCACCCATTAACTAGGGTCGAAAACTCCGGGGCCTGGAACCTCATCCGGCTCCCTACCAATTACGACAGGAACCTACCGGTCCGTCCATCCACCCTTCATAGGCGACAGCGGACTTTCAGTTCCCGACAACTGATAAGAACAGATACTACACTTGATCTTAGCCAAAAGGCCGAGAAGCGATAAAAGTTTACTACAAATATTCATTAAATAATTATTACTATTTATTAAACATGAGCATTAAGTATGCATTCCTGTGCATGTCATATACCCCCTGCAGCTTGGGGAAGAAACCTGGCATTGAACTGATTGGCTGCATTATTGTGTTTGTAAAATAGAAATGTACAGCATTTATTGTGGGTACTGACACTGCACTCTCTGTGTTCTTGTACTGCCTCTTCAGTAACCACTCTGCTGGGTAAACATCTAGCACTCGATGCCTAGTACATCCAGCTTCAGTAAATGAGGACTAATTTGCATTAAGTCTATTGAGAAGAAACAGGGTACTTTGAATATAGCATCAAAGAAATATCTATTGCACAAAAAGATTTGTTTGTATAAAAAAGAAGAGATGTATTATTGCAAAATATTATAATTCAAAATAAATATTAAAAACATAAATATATACAGTTGTTTTTTTAGACCATTACGGTTATTTAGCATATTGTATTTATTATTTCCTTAGAATGTCGATTCATTTCAGAGATCTTTTCTGCTTCTTCAGGACCATTATAGAGAATACGGATAATTATAGTCTCTTAATGCAAAACATGGATCAATTCTAATAAACATATTCTTATTAGATAATAATATAGTTATATCATAAATATGTACCACACCTTTACAGTCAACTAAGATAACATTATCAAGGCATACATTTATATTTGCTCATTCGCTGTAACTGAGCTGATACTTCTCCTTATAAACCAAAATGGAATGAAATGTATATACTGTACTCATATATGATCTAGTAAATATAAAATACAGTCATGTTAATCTCCTTATACCTGGACAAGGCAGGTGTCCCAGAGATCATTTATAACATGCTGTCCAAGTAGCCCCGATATATCCTACGATTACCTTTATAGTGGTGAGGTTGTCTTCTACCCAGTGTACTATTCCTATGGCTCTCTCACTAGAGATGCTACATGGCTGTAGCGCAATTTCAGTGCAATGTTATTGTTCCTTTATTTCGATTAGTATGTATTACTGCCTGCATTTCTCAGGTACAGTCTGTGTACTGGTACCAGCTCCGTGATACATGCCGATACTTGAACATGTTTGTATTACCTTATGCTCAATAAAAACTGGCATGCTAAAAAAACAAAATAACATGTTGTCCATTGTGAAATTAAAACAATATTCTCAGGGTGTAGTTGATGATCATCAAGAGGGAGGCATTAAGAAAATAATTTGCATTAGGAATTCATTAGGGCATTTGTGACTCATGCTAAATACATGTCAGCAGAATTGTCTTATTGCACGTTTAAACCTTACTAATCTTAAATTGTATGGTATTTATTATACTGAGAGAAAGATAAATGTCTAGTTATGTTCTCCTTTTCTTAGGTTAGCACGCTTGACTGGGTACGAGCTGAAAAAATGTATAACCTCTGTGAGGTTCTCTTTAAAGTTAGCAAGGTAGGTGTTCTTCTATTTAATTCAATATGAATTAGAGACTGAGACTGTTAATCTTTCCTTAGATTGTCATGATGTGTTTTATTTAACTTTTGTTTAAAGTGACACTAAACTCAGGAGTTAAATCTTAAAAATACATTCAACTATTAACAAAAATGTATCTTACTTGTGTATCACTCGGCTGTAGATCCTGTAATTATCTCTGAATTGGTACTGACACTGTCCTTCCTTCTGCAGGGTGGATACTTTTGTTCCCCGTGGTCCCTGTGTGTGTTGTAAAGTAGGCACGGCTCCAAGCTCACTCCTGTGATCGACTATGGGGTCTATTCACAAAGCAGCCGAAGGATCTAGCTGTAGCTTCGGCAGGACCCCTTTGGTTCAGTAGAACCGAAGGGCTGCTGTACGGGCTATTCACTATAGCCCGTACAGCTCCCGAAGTCGGCCGGGGGGCTCAGTCGAGCCGAAGGCACATGCTTCGGCTCGACTGAGCCGCGGTGAAAGCCTAAGCTGGAC